TAATGCATTAACGATTCTATGGTTGGCAAAGTACAGTAAAGTAAACTAGGTTTAATGGAAATAAGAATAATAGAATAATATAATAAATCGTAAAAGCTTCGTAAAATAGCATGCAAGTCACCTTTTTTAACACTCCACCACGTTCGTAATGTACAGTATAACAAGTACATCTCTCTATATACTCTCAAATCTCAATCTATATATAAAAACAAAATGTATAGAATATTTATACTGATTAATTATCATCAAGTTCACATATATTTTATTAGTCTTTGAACACGCTGGCCGCAGTTTTTCTTCATTATTTTTTAGTATTTATTTTCATAATCGCACTTTAAGTACACCGACATCCTTGAACGCTGGCCAGCATCGGAATGGAGCCGCCGACCCTGGGTAAGCTCATGATAAGTTATGCTAATTTTCAACTATCTACGATCAGTATCAATTCTGCCAATTTAGAATTAAAGGAGGGAAAATCACCTTATTGTCATCATCTAATTTGTGTAAAAATTTCAAGCGTAAAAACATTGCATCTAATTTACACAAGTCTAATGTTTAAATTAATAAACTATATCAGTATGTATTATACCCACAAGGCAATCAGGTTATGCTATCCAGATGTTGAAATGATGAACCCTGTTAAGTCACATCCCAGGTTTGACCATTTTTTTATAAGATGTAGCCAGAGACCGAATAACTATGGTTTGCAATTTATACCAGGATAAATATGTAACTTTTTTTATAATATAATTTAGTTACATCGATAAATTGATATTTAGATGAAAAGTCATCTATTTTATAAAATGGAAAATGAAAATAACTTTTTTATGCTTGGTAAAATACCAAAAAATTTCACAAAATGGTTTTTTTTTCTCATGAATTGTCATTGCAATTTGCCATTACGTGATTTTTTCACACTTTATTCATTCAAATAAAACATTTACCGTACAATTATTATTATTATTTCTTTAAAGCATACACATCATCATTCATCACACAACTATGATTTATTTATTTAATATAATACATTACGATTTTATTCATGTCATGAAAATGCATTTTTTTTAAATATACGTTTAGTCATACTTATACATGATAATAATTAATATTTTACTATTAAGTCATATTAAATCTACAACAAATAATATAAATATCCAAAATAGGAATCTATTTTTTACTTTTTTTATTTAAACAAGGTAATGATTTTGTACAAATCATATTACATTTTTAGTTCACGCATTTCAGTTCAGTTAATTTGCATTCAATTCAATTCAAAAAAAAAAAACCACGCTACATGCCACTACACATTCTATTTCATATGAACGAGGTAATTAACAAAAATAATCAACTTTGCCAAAAATTGTTCTAGATGTATCAGGTTATTAATTCATAAGTTGATTGTGTAAAACTGGATATCAATCCAAACGATCTGCTAGTTTTAAAGACCATAGCATGAAATGTTACAGTCGTTGACATAACTCATTGCACTGATTTAAATTCCTAAAATAAACAATAATTAAAACAAATTACTGTATACTTATATAAACTTACTTATTTTTCTTTAAATAAATAAATTGCTTTTATATATGTGTATTAAATATGACTTAAATATTATTTATTAAATACTATGTATAACTTAACATATCTTTAAACAAAATCAATTTAAATTTATATATTTAAAGATCTTGTATGACATTAAATATAATAAATACAATACACAATATGTATTAATGTATTATAATAATAATAATTGTGTAACATAGTACATTAAATTAATAATAATACTTGTGTGCGGTAAATGATTTATTTCATAAAGTGAATTACCACTTTTGAAAAAATTACATGATTTTAAGAGATCATTTCATAAAAAACGAACATTATTTCGTGAAATATTTTCGATACTAAAATTAGATCAATAATATTACACTAAATGCGAATAAGTCATTTTCATTTCATAAAATGTACGACATTGCATGAAAAGATTGATTTCACGAAGTGGCTACAATATACATATGTACATAATAACTAATTAATAAGAGTAATAAGACAATACTTGGTAAATAACATAAACCAGATTAAATATAATAAATTACTATACATTGCGATATTGATGTTTCCTTTAGAAGTTAAACAAATTTGATTTTCAGAAATCGTTGTTTTACAGTCTACATAATATAATAAAAATGTTAACTTATGACCAATGTATATTCGTTTGGCCCGAATTAATTTTAAAAAGTTCAATGCCGCTGATGTCACCTGTAATATTGATGACACTTATAAGAGCGAACCGTCATTTTGAGATGACACGCTGATAGATAAAACCGATAGGCAACACATTATACCTCAAACATTTGATTCTAATTCTTCAAGATATTTCACATTAGAATGACCTATGATAACAACACCAACATTGAAAATTACTCGGAAAAATATTTAACGATAAAACGCATTGATACCTGATTCTTTCTGTTCTCTCACAGTTCAAATATATTTTGACTTTGCTTTCAACGCCAACACCTTCCTTGTCAACCCTGATAGTGGTATAACAACTACATAGCTTCTATCTACCTTCTTCTTCAATAATTAGTCCTGATGTTTTCTGCCTCAACTTTTATATCACCGTTTCCAGCACACTCAAAAGCTATTCTATAATGCTGTAAACTTTAAGAATCTGAATTAATATTTCAATCTTCATTCTTCAAAAGTACCTTTCTACCATTCCAGTCAAGTAGGACATCCCATGCACATAGTCATCAAAGAATGCTGCTGATTTAAAAAAATATAAGATCTTTAGTCTCATGATTGATTTTGTTTTTTTGATCTCATCGAGAAAAGAAGTCTTATGCTATGATTAAGTGTACTTTCCTCAATTCTAAAAAAGCCTCCCGACAAAAATTCTACTCTTTTCTTAAATATTTATCTTTTCAGTCAAACTATAACCTACTGTAAATAAGTGCAAAAGCTTTAATTTAATTTAAAAATATCAACTTTAAATATCCATCATCCTTTTTAAATTACCTTAACATTCCCACATTCTTGAGACAATGGCGCTTATCCTTTAACATTACCTACTCAACTATTTCTTCCTCTTTTATAATTCCTGTAATTTTTAATAATTCTACTCACAAATCCTTTTAAATTTTTGATTGCTCTATTATAATTTTCACTTTAATTACATTTATTACCAAAGGCTTCTTAATCTAAATGAATAAACAATTTCCATTAGTTTTTTTTTTTTTTTTTGTAATTTGAATCTATTTATTACTTTATTTAATATTTTTATTACTATTATTATCACATTAATATAAAAATGTTTATAATGTTAAAAAAAAAATAGCCACTCAGTGATTGATAAAGTCTTGATTTGTCATCTATAATGTTCTTATCCAACTTTAACCAATTAATAAAATAATCATAAATATCAACTACCAGATATTTAAAATAAATATTTTTAATTATTCTAGTATAGGTACATTTGAAAAATAAAATATAGTTTATGTTTATTCACTATCGCAATATAGTTTATTGATATCTACCTAGTTATTAAACAAGTTGTGTTAATATCCGATAATTAAATTTTTGTTGATTTCCAATAACATTCCACACTTTCTTATTATCTAAAATTATTGAACCAAGTGCTAGTATTAAATTTCAATTTTTAACTGTAAGAATACTATTGCTTTAACATTATTTGAGTACTTACCTAAATATATGATCACAAACTCACAATTATGAATATAATTACACCCTTCTAATTTTGATATATTTATCAGCAAGTAGTAAACAACATATAAACAGTATTTATTTAGACTCTTAAATTTTAAATATAAAAATGTATTTTATTTTTTTAATTGCCTTGACTTACTAAAATTTACATACTGAATTCCAAATAATATTTAATATGTTTTACCCACAAAATAAAACACAATTTTAGAATTGTATATTTTATTTAAGCTAGATTAACATTACAATTGGTAAATAGAATAATGTTTTAATTTCATAATCATGATAAAAAAATAATAATGTATGTAAATAACAAGCATTGTTAGTCAATAGAATAAAATATTAACACAATGAGTAATAGTATTCAGTATAGATTATAAATATACTATATTTTCTCAAAGGTTATTACCCGATATTATAATGAATATTGAATAAATAGAAAAAAAAATTATGTTAACTAGAAATTATAATTGATGATAACTATGATACATAACATTATTAACATTAATATATTATATATAAACTAAATTTAATTTTTAATTAAGTTTTTCTAAGATCAACACAAAATAAAGTAAAATATGATCATAATGAGCTATCCACACATATAACATAATAATTAAATACATAACAATTTATTGTAAATAAATGATATAAATAAAACTGATGAAAAAAAATGTAAGAAATTAAATAGTATAATTATTAATAAATAATGTGAAGAATAAAGATCAAATTACAACATACAATAATAACAATGACTTAAGCTGGGGTATTGATTGGTTAAATATCTTTTAAAAAAAGTTATTTAGTTATCTATTTATTTTAGTAAACTTTTAGTCATAGGTATTATTTTTCTATACAAGTAAATTTATATAAGTATATAAAAATGTAAAGTAAATATATAATAATTTTTTTGTAAAAATGTGATCATAACTAATTCTTTCTTACTTGATCAAAATTATATTTATACTTAAAATATAATTTTAACTTAAGTTTGTAAATTATTTTAGTTTAAACTTAGTATTTTCTAACCATTTAAAGCTAAAATATTAACTATTCAACCTTACAAAAAGAACTTGAAGTTAACTAAACTTCAATTTAAAAAAATAAGGAAATAATTCATTTTCCCAGCTATAAGAAACTGTCTATAAAAATAGATTAAAAAACATTTTTTTTTTTTTTTTTTAATTTACAAATAATTGTTTATGTAACAAAAGAATTATATGTCTGTATAAGCAAGCATTTATACATTTAGGAAATTTTAATAAGAATTAACTTACCCTTTTTTATCATCATCATCCATATTGTTAAGACAATTAAAATAGGAAGGATAAAACTAAATAAAACTTTGTCCTGTAAATTAAAAATCAAAAATATATAACTATTTTTTTTTATAATTTGTTTCAATATTATGTTTCTAAATTTATTTATACATAATTTTAAAAATTAATTATTTCTCTTTCACTTATCAAAGTTAAGTGATTCAATGTAGCGCATAACTGTTTTTTACATAATTAGGAAGTAAACCTTACTACCTCATTTGACCTTAAGAGTGGCGTGCATGGCATTGAAACCAGTGAATGTGTAAATACTGATAATTAATTGACTTGATTATTTGTTTGAAAATCTAACTAAACTTAAACCTTAAGACATAACATTATACTAAACAACAAAATAAATATTGTGTTTCAACTTACTTTAATATTATGAGAATGAAAAATTGGATTTATCGCATAGACAATAACATACTAATTGTAGATGGATGGTTAGCCATCGTTGAATGACTAATTAGTAATTATAGTTGCGTTGAACGAAGAAAATAATTATGAATAATTATTTGGTAGAAAAAAAATTATTAGCAGTACTTTAGTCATTTCATGGCGACCATTAAAGCCTAAAGCCTCCTAAAATGATATATGTTATTTGTCCTCACTCCGCACTACCCCGGACCGAGGATCCAAAGTCCAGACGTGCCCCACTGTCCCGTCAACGGCTAATGACTAATGAATTTGATGAAACATCAAAATATTTTTATCAAAATTAGATATTGATTAAAAAGTAAAGACAAATAAATAAAGTTTAACATGGAAGGGATATCACTTATAAACACAATGATTAATTTTAGCGGGAAAACTGTTATCAATTTTTTGATTATTACTTATTAGGTTATTACTTATTTTTGTTTTTATTGAGTAAAATTTAAAGTACCGTTTTTGGTCTTATATCAAAACTACAGATTTAATTAGGAACGGATTTAGAGTAAAGAAATTTTCGTCATTTTGTAATTTCCACCTTAAGCGTGTTAACTGTTATCTATTGAACTCGTTCAATGTACTCCAATACTCGCAATGATGAACTCGAACCTCGTCCGGCACCCAAGCCCACACATTTTCAAGTAAATCTTTTTTCATAATGATAACTATTCCAATTCTATACTAATACTAAAAGTTGTTTTGTGTTAAAAAAAATATGTTCTAGCGTCTAAATGCTTAAGATGTTGATATGATATTTTTTAGGAATTGTCAGCCAAACCTGAAGTCCCAGAATTATCAGTGGTTTTTGATTCGTCAGAAAATAATTCAAAGTCATTAAATAGGCACCCACCATATCACACTAACAGCCAAAATACTCATGAAACGTATAGTGAATGGAAAAATCGTCAAAATCGCTCGCCTCCAGTATATAAAGATACTCGTTACTATGAGCCAAATAAACAATATTATGGATCTTCATCATACAGTGATTGCGATCAAAATCCTTATGGTCGCTTTTCAGATAAAAATTCATACAAATCTGGTTGCGAGTATCATAAATGTGCCTGCCAGAACACACCAACTGTCAAAGATATTTACAGCATGATGCAATTACAAAATGATCAAATGAAATTTCTTTTAGAAACCATACAAAAATTGTTAGTCACTGTATTAACGAATCAGCAAAACCAACATAAATGTTGTTGCTCTGAAAATGGTCATTATAAAAAAGTTAATGATTCTAAATCAACTGAAGTGCTTGAAAAAGAACAAGCTCAAGAAAAATGTCCTTCACAATATGTTCACAACAACCATACAGAAAAACTACAAACCAATTCAAAAAAATCTGAAACTGTGCAAAAAAAAAATGAACCAAATCAAAATGTAAAATATTCAGATAAACCAGACATCACTCCTGTAATAAAACAAAAACCAAAAAATTCAGTTAGTACCAGATGTGATAATAGTAAAGATGAAAAAGTAAACACAAAAGAGAAAGAAAGAACGTACTCTGTCATAAGGTACATGGAATATTTATTTTCATTCTGTTAACTAATAATATAAGTTTTCAACAAACTATTTTTACTTAAATATTTGATACTTGAATTAAATACTTAAATAGTAATATTAATTTTTATAGAAATAGCCTATAGAAAATTTTTATATTTAGGAAAAAAATAAATATTTGATAAATTATTTTCACAGCCTTGGGGGTCTTTACCTTGAGCCATTATAAAATAATTTATTAAGTATATTTATTTAATCTAGAACAAGGGTTCAAAATTAAGACCTATTAATAGGCTATAGTCTATAGATATATATAATTTTAGACCTCTAAGAGCTTTCAATTTTTTTTTTTTTTGTATAGCACTGAATAAAAAAATGTTTAGACAAGATCTTGATTATAATATGGATAAATTATCAACCAATAATGTTTTTGTAGTTGTAAAATAATATAACTATAATAAAAATGTTGCATCATTTAGTTTATCAAAAAAATAGACTCCTCTTGAAAAAATCCTGGTTGCATTACTATGTAATCTATTTACCTTAGATTAGGATTTATGTATTTCATTGTATATTTTTCCCCCAGTGATGAATCATTTGATTTGAATGCAAATGATGTTCAAGTTATTGAGGATCCAATATCTCCTGAACAATCGATTCATATTGAAATGAAATCATCATCTGAAGATAGTGAAAATAGGTAATATTCGTATATTATAATAAATAAAATAATCATTTAAAGTTTAATTTTTTTTTTTTTAAATATATAGTGAATGTGAAGAAAATGACAAACAAATTGAAGTAGGGTGGACAATGTATAAAAATATTATTGTAAGTTACAAACGTTTCTATTTATTTCTTAAAAGAATAATAATTATTATATATTTTATAGTTCTTACGTTTAATGTTATTATTTATTTTCTAATAAAAGGGACAAGTAAATAACTTACTTGAAGATAATAAAAGTGAACAAAAATGTAATGTAGCTGAACAAATAGAATGTGTTAAACCTACGGCCACAATTACACCAAAGTAAATTATATATTACTTTTTAGAAGCTTCATTTTATTTGACTGAAGACAATTATTAAGCTTTATATAATTTTTATGATTTTATTTTTGCCTTTTAGGAATTTTGAACCATACAAACATTTAATGTTACCCGAAAATAGTAAAATAGACTCCAGCTTACAAATGCAAGCGCTTGCTATGCAGTATTTATCACCTGAACAAGCCGTAAAGTGTAAGTCATGGTTGCTGTGTTTTTTAATAAAATAATTTTAATAAATTTAATAAATAACAATTTTAATAATTGAAATAAATAACAATTCACATTGTCAAATAATAACTGTACAATATATAAATTATTGACAACAATATAAATTTACTGCATCTAATTGAAATGAAAAACTATTTAATAGTATTGACTATTCATCCACTCACTGTATATCAATCTTATTTCTTCTCTTCTTATATTTATTTTCATTTGAAATCTAAAAAATAAAATATACAATCAGTTTATTATTTTATTACATTTGTTGAATATGGTATATATATATACACAAAAAAATAATAGGTTATCTTTAAATTTTATATTGTATTATAGTCTATATTATCAAATAATATAAAATTATGTTTATTATATAAATAATATTTTATTTTATTAATTAATACATATTTTTATTGAATATAAATAAAATTATATAAGATTTATTCTTTTTTCAGTTGATATGAATAAACATTTTGTGCCAAAAACACAACCTACCATGAAATCTCCAAATAACTATTCTATTTCAACACTACATTACATGGAAAGATATCATCTGATTGCACCTGAAAAATCCCATACTTCAGGTATCTATCTACACTTAATAAGTATAATGCATTTATTTAAATTTTTTTTTTTAATAAAAATATGTTTGCAAATTAATAAAGAAGTAGGCCCTCTTCTGATGTTATTGATTATAATATATTAATAAAGTAGTATAAAATTATTAAAGAACATAACATACTAATAGTACTCAATTAAAATTCCTTATTTTAAATAGATTTTTTTTAATATTAGAGTAAATTAGTTTATAATTAAATAATAAATTTAAAGATGATCTCTGATATCTCATCATTTTTATTTAATATTTTATCTACTTACCCACATTAAAAATAGAAAATATTAGTGGGAGAACCATAATTATATTTTATATGTAACACAGATAGGGACATTAAATATAAATTCTTCTTAAATAATATAAATATAAGTAATACTAAGTCTAAAGCCATTGATTAAACAATATTTAAAATAATGACCACTAGGAATGTATTAGCAATTAACTACAATGCTTGTCTTCACAACATTTATGTATAAAAGATTTAAATAATGGTCATAAATTTAATTTAAACCAAAAATGTCTAATCTAATATGATCATAATAACACATTATTTAATTAGATAAAAACAAAATATTAAAAATCAATTATACTTTTAAAATAAACAAAATATTTTTTTTAAGTGGCATGCTTATTTAACAGAAAAATTATAAATATAAAAAATATTGGTAATATTATGTTTTCTGTGGTGATTTAAAATTAATTATTTGTTTATTAGTTATTATCATTGTTATTATTGCCCTATTTCATAATAACATACATTAATTTAAACAAACATAAAAATAAAAATTTACAATATGATATAAGAAACCTAAAATTTTAGTTTATTCTATAATTTTCTTAAAAACAAACAACAATAAATTACCAAAAACCAATCTAATACTTTAATATTATGAAAACATTTTTTTCTCAACTAATTATTACTTTATAATTTTAAATAAGGATGAAATCACTAAATTTTGAATTCATAAACTAACCATTTTGTATAACAACAAAATAGTGGTAACCAGTTTATTTACTGTCAATATTAGGGTACTAATACATTGGATTAAATGAGTGGGTCATTTTTGGATATAGAAAAGTAAATAGTGGTTTCCAAGCAACTCTTTAACATCATCTTACTTAGCATTTTAAATTCAAAGTAAAAATTTAATTATTAATTACTAAAAATTGCTAATATTTTTTTTTTTAGAAAATCCTCAAGAAAAATTACCAACAGAAGGATTATTAAACAAAAATAAAAAATCATTGCGGAAAAGTAAAACTCCTTCAAAAATACTTAATATTACTGAACTTAAACAACAACCAAAATTATCATAATTGTGAATTATTTTTTATAATTTATTTTGTTTTATAATATTCTATAAGAACATTCATGTTTTAAAAATTGTATTTTTAATTAAATTCTCAATAATAAATATTCATACTTTTAGGTCTATCTCAGATACTCATAATTTATCGTTTAAATTTTTTAATATACATAATATATATATATATATCATTTTTGTATTACTTAAGAATTTTTTAGATTTTAAAATTTAAATAGCTTTTATATATTTTTTTTTTATAACTTAGATAATATACTATATTTATCAAAAAAAAAAAATTGTTTTATTTAAAAATGCTTTGTATAACTTACTTCTCATGTTTAAATGTTAAAACTTTCACCACACCCACAAGTTCCTTTAATGTTTGGATTATAAAACACAAATTCCGAAGATAGTTTAGATTGAACAAAGTCCATTTCAGTTCCAAGTAATGTCAACTGAGCTTTTCTATCAATAAACACACGAATTCCTAGAATGCATAAAAAAAATTATCTATGGTACATATTATAAATATTCAATCCAGAAAAAGTATCAAACATAGTTCTGAGCATCACTAATTGACACCCTGTCATAATGGAACCAATATAAATGACAAGGTGTTGAATAAAGATGTACAGAATTGACAAGTTCTCTCATTGGACACAGCATAAATAAGTATGTAAAGCATATCATTTTATCTACCTAAATTTTTATCAATGCAAAATTTCTCAAAAATTAACTTTATAATATAATACTATCTATTAATTTTATAATTTACCATCTTGTACAACTTCTTCATCTAATTTGTGTTTTTCACTAGCATAGTCTAGTGTATAACTTAGACCATTACATCCTCGTTGTTTAACACCAATTTTAAGACCAATCTAAAACATTAAATAACTAAAAATAATACTCACAATAAATATATAAATCATAAAAGTATAACTAACACAGTCTGATTTTCCAGATAATATCTTTTTTAGCTGACCAACGGCTGATGGTGTCTGCAAAAATACATAATATATCATCACTATTAACACATATATTACTTAAGTTATAATAATGGAATTTGATTAAATACTAACCAAGGTGAGAGCAGCCTTAATAGGTTTCTTGCTTCCAGCTACCGCTCTTATGGAAGATGAAACTATACGTCCGGCCATGTTATCCTATAGGCTATAATTATGAACTACAAATTCATTTTTAAATTATTATTTGTCAACAACTGACGCAGTTTCCACAATTTGCAGTTTGCACAATATCTTTCTACAAATGTACAAAAATAGCATTTAACAATAGTTTTCACAATATTATAAAACGAAAAAACGAATTACAAATTCACAACATAATAACATATTGTGTTATCTCTTATCACATGTTTGGAGGACATATTTTTTTATCAATTATTTATCAGTTATGTCAAAAGCTAGACGCTAAAAATTGTACAACAATATTCCTACCGTGAACAACGAAAATTGAAAATTCATAGGCAATCGACATTCGACAATCCATAGACGTAATAACTAAATCTGTCTCTTTGAAAATAATGAAATCTAAAAATCAGTTTTCTAAAGGGCAGTGGTTACTCACTAGTCAGTACTCAGTATTTGGTTCAATTAGTGGTACTGCACTACTGACTGCACATTCCAGTGCACTCTTGAGGGCTTGAGGCGTGCCGCATATGGTAACAAAAAATGTATGTTTGTATTAGAAAACCAGTTAACTATATAAGACACGAAGTACGAAAACATATCAGTGGAAATTATTTATGATATTATCATAATATAAAACTAAAATATTTATAACTTATTAGTTTATTAGCTATTTTTAATTTTATTGTACAACAAAAATTCCATTTCTATTTTCTAAGGATATTCATAAATATTCATACTACTATTTTTAATTTATTTTTCTATTATTAATATAGTGTAAGTAAGTATGTTGAACTTATATTCGCCAAAAACATTACACATATTTTATTAATAATTATTGGAGTATAACACATCAATTAAGTCATATATTATTACGGTTAGTGTGAATCATTTTTTTTATGAAATTCACAGCATGAGTAGCTTAAAGTTAGTCTGAATATTTTAACAAATTGAATTGTATTTACGAAATAATAATTTGATGTAATCGTGGAATGTTTAAAAATGTTATGATTAACACAATATTCTGAATTTTAACAAAATAATAAAAATCATTTGAGAATAAATTCTTACATTAGATTTGATTATTCGATGTCGTCAAAACCTCATCTTATGAAAATTATAGAAAAACATAAGAAATTTTATTTTAAATTTTTAAAACTTATATGATAAATTTTAAAATATCGAAAAGCTCTGTAGTACATACAAAGTATACATATTAGTGTATTAGAATAAAGGTTACAGTAATTGACAAATTAAATTTGTATTCAATAACAAATAATAATTGCATTATATGAAAAACTATAAGGTATAATAATAAGTACCTATATTTCTACTCGTATTTTTATAAGTAATTAGTTTTACCTCTGAATAAATGAAATTTCAGTAATTTTACAAAAAGTAATATGGGGAATGAGTATAGACAGACACGTATCTGAAAACTCATTGGTGGGAGGAGGGCGATTAATTATTTTATAAACAGTCCAATATTAGTTCGATCTACTTATGGGGAAGTTGAATTAAACTTTCAATATTAAACATAATATTGTAGATTTTTATCAACATAATAATTTGTACATTTTCGTAATTTTGTCAAAATGTGATGCATGTAAAAATAAATCGTACCTACTTATTAAATCTTTAATGAAATCAAATAGCTATAATAACGAGGAACCACATATTAAATTGCTAAATTGTATGACTAGGTAAAATCTTTTTATTGACATTCATGAAAAAACTTTTTGAAATCAAAAAATTCATGTGGTGCTTAAATAGCTCAAAAAATCCAAAATATTTTAAAAATTATTCCACACATGATGCGTCCAGGCATAGAAAATGTTTATACATAGGAACATTAAATTTAGTGAAAATAGATATTCAATTATTTTCGACTATTCAATTTTAAATTAGGTATTACAAAAGGAGAAAACCGATTTTGTCGATAAATTCCGTATCCCCTAATTTTAGATTCTAAATCGTGGAAATCATCACTGTACTTCAGTACTTGTTGATAAACATTCACAATATATTTTTTCATTTTTTTTTTTTTTTTATTTGCCTTCACCTTTTTTTGGACAGTCAAAATGCTTTAATTTTAAAACTGGGTGTGGTTTCTGGTAAAAAATTGAAGGTAGTTGATACTTTAATGTCAAAAGTAAAAAATTCTCGATACTTTTTGTATAATTTGGAAAAAAAATTATGAACAGGAATTTTACTCAAATTCAATTTTCGACGATATCAAAAATGAAAAATTGTAGATACCTACTTGGGATTTTCAGCAAAATTTGGTATCATAAACATTTAATGGAACATTTTGTAAAATATTTGATTCTTTTTAAGTTATTATTCACCGAGTACTCGTAAAAATGCCCATTAACCCATTGTCTTTGTTATTTACAATAATATTTAATAAATTCTAGTAAGTGTACAAACAAATTATTTAACTATTACTCTAATAACATACATTGATTAAGTATAGGTTTTTCATTTTTTCCCCATAGTTTATACACCAACCTATAAAATACATACATAGTACCTACAGATTCATATTATAAATAAATATGCTTAAGTTAAATATTTAATTTTAGAATCAAATATAATGCATTAAAAAGAAACATAAATATTTTTATATTTTTAGCGTTGTTCCAGCTAGACACCTTCAAAGGTTTCTAAATTCTCCTTCCAGAAAATTCCAAATTAATTCATACGCAAGTATAAGCTTGTCATAAATATACCATTTTCAGGTTAAATATATATCGATTATCGACTTTACCAAGATTTCTTTATTATAATATACCTTATATACAGGTACCTACCGGCTATCTAATGAATGATAACTGATAAATAATGAAAAAAATAAAATAGGACTATAGCCTATGCCCTATAGGCTTTTGGTATATGCATTATGTGTATTATATGAGACGTGTAAACTTAAGTACTGTTAAATATTAATAAGTAGTATTACTTATTATTATACACGAGTTACGACTTACGAACCACGTGGCCATAATATACTACATATAATATTGTGTTATAGGGTACTTATACAATGTACAAGCGCAGACGATCGTGATTTTGTAAATGCATTGCGGACTTCTGATGGCTGTGTAATGGAAGTTGAGTATTTATGGGTATTTATTCCCTAGGAAAAAAATTCTGAACCTATTAAAATTGACAGAATAAAATATAACCACATCATGAAAATTATTATGTGTTCAAAACATTTTACTGGACATATAGACTTAGTAAACATACCGAGTTCTAGTTTTTACTACCTCTATCTATTATAATAACTACCTCGTATAGAAATAGAACCCAATGCCTTACTAAATCAATAAAATAATGTTTTATTTTTATAAGAATATAGAGTTCATACTAGATAAAACATCATCTTGATATTTACAAGTCACAAATTTATTAAATCATGATTAATAGAACGAAAAGATTTTGACACTCATTAGTCATCACAATGCATACCTTTAGTATAATATGTTATCAAAATAAGTTCTTTTTTTATTTAAATTAAAATCTATAAAAGCAATACTGCAATAAGTTAGTAAATACTAAGAATAAAAATAATGTATACAAAAATGAAAATGAAAATAGTAATAGTTGTATGGTTGTATCATTGAGCCTATATAATATATATATAAAAATAAAATTGGTTTTACAATCTTTACAGATATTTCTAACTAAAACTCATTTTTACATAAAAACAACTATGTAAGTTTTAAAAGTCAACTTCTCCCAAAGTTGAAATAAATGTACCAACAGTAAATATACAACAAATCAATTCTAATCCAACCCTCAACTAAATACTTAGGAATCATTCTTTATAAGTGTCTCACATAGGCCCTTCATACCACGTTTAAACATAAGCAGGTAAATACATGGCACCGTTTACTTATACTGCTTTTTATAAATCTATATAAAATGCAACTCAAATTTTAAACCCCTCATATATAAAGCCATAGTTAGACCAGTTTGGTCAACCTACATACACATTTGGGAGTCTCACAAAACTATTTAACAAACGTTCAATCCAAGCTTTCCAATCTATTAGTCTTAAACTTATATTTGAAGCTTTATAGTTTATTACAAACAAATCTCTTCACGAGAACCTTAAAACACTCACCATCAATGAATTTGCAAAAATTATGTTAAACGTTTCCACAATAAATTAATAAGTCACTCAAATCCTCTAATCCAAAATATGTCCTCTTTATTTTTCTCTGATAATATTAAACATTGTCTAAAGCAAAAATTAATATGCATTCAATATAATTTAAATAAATATTGAACAATTTTCCTCTTCCAGTTATTCATGTAATGTAAAATACATAACCTTGTAACATACTTGTTTTAATATAACAGATTGTAAATATCTTTTAAAAAATAGTTTTAAAACTTTAGAATTTTTCATTAATTTAAAAAAAATAATGTGCAAACATTTTAATAATATTAAAAATCAGAATAAATATATTTTAAAAAACAGAACAATAATTTTAAAAATATTATTTTATGGTTGTCATAGAATAGTATCAATGATTTATCAATAATCAATATTCAATGAATTATGAATAGCCTAGAAACCAAAACGTATTTGTTAAACAAATTAATTCATACTGAAACTTTTCTGTTTTTTAAACAGTAGTACAGAGCACATCAATAAAGCCTTTACAAATAGTTCAATAAATTCGGATTATCCATGTATGAAACATAGAAATTACATAATGTATTATGTTACCCGTTGAGATACCTACTTAGTTATTTATTCTTTAATTTTATTGAAAAAAAAAAGGATTTTTCGAGATCATTAGCCTTCAGTAATAATGGTTAGAAATAACAGATTTATTGAAATGTAGATCAACGCATTTCGTATAATACATACACATTATAATATGTACATATATTAAACCTAACGCCTATTAGATTTATCCAAAATAAGCGGAAACATATATTATTCAATACATCAAAAATCGAATAATTGAATAATAATTTTTTTTAAGATTTATAGAATTATTATATTTAAATTTTAGGATTATAATTATTATTTAATAAGTTTTATTTTAAAGGTAGCGTGGTAAAGAAGACGAAAATTGATATTTGATAGGAAAAAACTCAAAAAACCACGTGCGCGAACGATTTGTATAACAGTTAACCTTTTAGAACCAACAACTGTCCGAGACACGTAGACGCCAATAGTAATTTCCGTTAACTATATAGACGCCAGACGGCAGACGCAAAAAAAAAAAGTAATATCATAATACTATCACAAAAATATTTATAAATTATAATGAAAAAATAATGAAATTTCACGTTTCCACGACTACATGGGAGTGTTGCGAGTTTGCGACCATGGTGTTGATAAGATTTTTATGTTATCAGCTGCAGCAGTCTTAACTCACGGTTGAGCAACAAACCAACATTGCCAACCTGCGGAAGTAAACAAACGGTCTTTAGACGCGTTTCGGAAATCAGTACGGGGATTTTCAACTGCTCGCGTCGCTTTGCAGCGCTGACTACAGAACGTTTCGGAAGATTTACGGGAAAACCACAGTAAAGGCGGCGGACCGATTGTTGCGGATCGGTTCGCGCGGCGGGCGCGGCAACACCTGATCAGAGGTTCGGCTGCGGTCGGTCCGCGCCGCTCGCTGTCGGGCCGTGCCGTCCGCGTAGCCAGGTTGCTTTCGTGTGCCGACCGCCGCCAATCGCCGTTACTGCGGCTCGGGAGCCAGCGGCGGCCCTCAGTGCACGTCCGCCATCACTGTAAGTTGTGCTGTGCGTGCTGATGTGGGCCGACGTGCTCTCCGAACTGAGACCGAATAGGGCCTCATGCAGAAGACTTTTTTCGACATAAAACATAGGTTATTGAGCGCATTGGACGATGAATACAATGTAAGACTATATTATTTTTACAAAATCCCGTATTATTTTATAATTTTTAATAACTTGATTTTTTTTTTTTTTTTTTTTTATTATTATTGAAACACGATATTTACATGTTGTTACGAATACCGTTCGTGTGATCGTCTGTTTCCGTGGTTAACGCGGTAGCGCTTTCCGAACGTCGTCGTCCTTCTTATTATTGTTAAAATTGTTGTTAATCGCAGTCCGCCGACACCGGGAGAAAACGTGAGTGCGATCGACAGCGGCCCTGTCGTCGCTGTCGACGTCTCCGGTTTCCCCCGTGTCGTCCGTCCGCGATATTACGTCCGTCGACGACTGGCGCGCGGCCGCCGAGACCCCCGCCGACTGCCGTCGTCCGTTCGCCGGCGCGTGTGCGTGTGCGTAAAACAAACCGATTTTACGTCGCCGACCGACGGCCACGGCCGTGTGGCGCGCCGTACGTCCGCGAGGTTATGTGTGTGTGTGTGTATGTGTGAGCGTGTATGCGCGATCTCGTGTGCGTGTTCGTCGTGCGTACAATGGCCGAAAATAGGTTGTCGACGACGGCGGACGTACCGTACGCCGCCGCGCCATACTGATGACATTTCGTCCGGTCGAGCCCGTGGCCTATAGAACGTCGGCAGTGCGCATGCGCGCTTGACAATGTTCCTTTCTCGTGTGCGTTTTTCTGTTTTCTGCTTTTTTGTTTGCGTTATTCGCGATCGCGTCGCGCGTCCTGTTCCACTTTATAATAATATAAGTATTATATAATGTATATATCTCCGCTTGCAACACTGTTGTCTCCCGTCCGACGACTGTTTCTCTTTTCTTATTTTTCATTTTCTCGCTTTTTCTTTGATCATATAATGAAACGTTTCCCATTTTTCTTGCCCCACACGAGTTCAATATTCTCGTTGAAACCCTCTATATAAATTTAACCGTTTTTAGGTTATTTTTCTTATTAATTTTGTTTTCGATCGTTTGTCGTCAACCCCCCCCCCTGTGTGTTTGATCGACGACGGGGGTCGTTGCCAAGGAAAAAGCTTGGGAAAATGTACACGCGTTTCGTAAATATGTCGAGGACTATGTTACCGCACCGCCCCGGAAACTACGGTTTTCACAAATGTTTCGCGGTACTCGTGGCGCATTTGTGCCAATACCTAGCACCTTGGTCCCCTACTTAGCATTACGATTTTTGTCTCCGATACCGTTAATTCGTCCGAAATATTTTCTATCCCTCTGTCTTTTATTTGTTTTATACGTATTATTATAATCGATGTTGTTATTATCATCAATCGAAACGACATACACATCATATCTTCACCACTTAAATTAATATTTTTGCTATGAAATGCATGACTTTTCACATCATTTATTCGCTTTTTTTTTTGTCGATTTCATTTATTTAAATGTAAATTTTTACAATTAGTCCTATGGTTTTACAATGATTGTTTAGCATTAAACGTATTTTTTTCGCCCCACATATTGTTTGTAAAATATCTAGGTCATTTTAGGTCAAGGAAACGGAATAATTTAACTAATAGTATAACTTTTTTTTTTGGTACCTAACTGAAATTCACTATGTATATATGTATGTTTTAAATCGAATACCGAAGAAATTAAAATTTGTATTTGAAACAAAATAAAACCATTAATTGAATTAATAATTATCTTAAGACTTGTTTAGTTTTGATTTCTTCTATAATTAAAGAATAAATTTATATAGACAAATGTTAACATACTAAAGTAAATAAATATTAGTTGATCTGTAATAGTACATTTTTTCTTTGAGATATAATTTAAATTACTATAAAACTTAAACCTTTTTAAAAATGAATTTATTACGATCTTAAAGCATATGTCTTTTTAAATCCATTAAATTTCTTATTTAGTTATTTTAAGTTAAAATGTTGTCTACATTTCCATGAAGTAATTAAGATTTAAAATTTAAATTATATTTTTTTATAAACGTAATTAACCTTTTTAAAGTAACCAAAATATTAATAAGCCATGTAATAATGTAATTGTTAAGATTTGTTATTTTTAATATGTGTTTTTTAAGGATGTTAAGTTTCAGTTTAGTTGCATTATATAATAAATTTTGTATGTGTTTTTGAAAAAATAAACATAATCTAAATTGGCAATAAAAAAAATTATTTTCACCATTTCCTATTTTCTTTTTTCTTCTTTTCTATAATATTTAAGAAATATTTAATTGATTATTGATTGTTGGTAATAATATATAACTGTGCCTATATTCTAACATTTGGGTATCAAATTGTTAAATATATACTTAAAAATACATAATAAATAGTACAATGTATTTTAATTTCTTGTAAATATCAAGTTAATTTTAAAAATGAAATTATTTAATCAACAAGTTTTATGCTTGTTATTACGTATATCTTATTTTCCCTTCCTTACAAGGATAAAAAATTAGTTTTATCAATATCAATCACAATTTTTCAACTGTTATTTAATTAAAATTAAAAGTATTTTTTACAATAATATTAAATATAGATGAAAAATGTGTATTGGAAAAAAAACCATGATGAAATTACTTTTTATGAATTTATGTGTGGAGTTATAAATTTATTTTTGTTGTTTAAAGACCTAAATGATGCTTGACGAAAAATGTTTTCCTAATACAAATTAAAATATTGAATAGTTAGATTAAATTGATTAGTAATAAAATAATAAAATATCACTTGAGTGTGGTATTATATTTTTGATATTCTTTTGATGTTTTTATAGTTAAAAAATAAAAGTACTACTTGTTAAATAATTTAAAAAATAAGTAGTAGCTTCTAAATCTAAATTCATCATAACTATTACTATGCTTAAATGCATTTATAAAATATTCATAAATGTGTACTGCTCCAGGTTACCGACATGTCTACAGTGTTCGAGGTTATTTCAACCCTTGAACAACTACCGGTTACCACCGAGGTGCTCGAGGTAAATTATTTTATTTTCATCAGTTATATAATGCTATTTTTTACATTGTATACACATATCACTTTTCATCAAAATTATAGTCCTTTCATTGTTTTATTTTTAAAACTCTAAAGTCCTTACATTTAACAGAATAAAAATTATTCATGTATTATGTTAATATAGAGTAAAATAAATAATAATCTGCACTGAAGTTTTTTTATACATTTCTAATTTCTTGTTTAAAAATAGTTATATACATAAATGCTTTAAGTGTGATATTTGTATACATAATTATTACCTAATTTTATACCATTGACTTAAAAAATTATTTATTATCTCCTTAGCTTATAAATTTACAATATTATTATTTATGTATACTAGGCAACTCGTATTGGTAAAATGGTTAATGAATTACGACGTAAAACTGTGGACAAGCAATTGGCCAAACGTGCAAAAGAGCTTGTACAGAGATGGCGTAACCTAATGATAAATAGTGCTCAAGTCATACAACAGGCTAAGCTTCCTTCCTCACAGCCCAATGGCATGCTTAGCAACTATAGTAAAAGACCTTTGACTTCACCTGATCAATGTACAGCACCTCTAAAAGTATGAAACAAATCTTATATTATTTGTATTTTAACATTTTAGTAATATTATTTTTCCATTTTATAGAAACCAAAATTAAATGGAATACCTTCTTTAAACTTAAACATCATATCACCACCACCAGTTCAAAAAACACCAGAACCCATACCTAGTCCAGTTAATGAGCTTGATCCAGAACCTGATCCTATTTTAGAACCACAGGGTCCAAAAAAACGTGGCCGAAAAAAAGGTGGCAAAAATTCTTCAAAACTAGGGATAAAACCTACCAATCCTGTGGATTTGGAAAGAATGGTATGTGTTGGTGCCAGTAAATTGAAAACCACCCAAGAAATAATTGCATCATTACGAAAAGATGATGAAAATTATCAGTTGGAAGAAAAACCACAAATACCTGTGCAAGAGTTTCAGGACGAACCGTCTGTAACGAAAGTTGATAAACCTAGTCGACCTAAAGTTTCAGACATCGACCGACAAATACAGGAAATATATAATAGATTACCTCCTCTGGATCTAGAAGCCATAGACTGGAGTTCACCTCCACCATCGCCACCGCGGCCTCTTCTGTCCCCTACTGATTTAGTAGACGGAGCTCAAATAGAAGGCGTTACTGGTAATTGGGAAAATGGTGAAACATTTAGAGAGTGGCACGAGGTATTAACTAGGGCAAACGATACTGGTGAACCGCTTGTCATACTACCATACGTGATAATTGACTGACAGGGATTTTTTCTACTAGACTTTGTGATAAAGACATTTCAAGTCTTAATAATGTATATACTAAAAATAATTTTTTAATAATAAAAGTGTAAAAATTAAATAAAAATAAAAAATTATAATATTTACATAGACATGTATCCGATTACAGATTGTGTCTTATAATGTTTTATAAAACTACTTGTCTTTAAATGCTGTAAAAATGTTTACCTATGTATAACTTATTGGAAAACTAATACTACAATTCCTAGATCAAAGTAATAATCATTGTTTTATTTTTCAAATGGAAAATATTATCTGATTTGTTAAGCTAGTCAAAAGACCAAGTTTAATTTATAATATAATAAATGTTATTATTTGTCTTGTATTTTTTTTTTTTTTTGTACGCAACAAAGTAAACTTGAGTCAAACTGCAAAATGCAATTTCTTGTGCCTTCATTGATGTAAATTTTTTTTAGCAAATCTCATCATAAATACAACATGATGTTTGTTACCATATAATAATAAATAAATAATAATAATGTATATTTACAATGATTATTATTTAAAGAATTGTTCTAAGGTAAAATAGTTTGTATATAAAGAATTTTTTTGGTCACTTTTATCATTAATTATACATAAACTATTAATTGTGTATAATTAATGCTTTTATTTCATCGTTTATGTTCATATTTTGTTTTTTTAATCAAAGAACTTCCTAATTCCCATATTGTTTTAGCTAAATTTGTTAAATTATTGTATATATGATTTTTTTTTCTTTTGTTATTATTATTATTAATTTTTTTTGACCTTAAGTTATTATAATTTTAATATAATTGGCATATAATATTCATGAATAAAAGCATGTATTTTTTTTTTTTTTTATCAGTGCATTTACTTTGGGTACATTTTCTATGTAATAGCTGTTAAACCATATACTATGAAAAAAAAATTTTAAATTTGTTTCACAGTATTGTAGTACTTAAATAAGTACTTTGTTGATAATATAATTAAATACAATAATTGGTTCTTTTTTATATTTGTGTTATTCATTAATAATATGTAGTCCATTTGTAATATTGAGTACTGACTGAATGACTTCTAAAAATATTTATAGAAATGGAAGCAAAAGTTTTGTTTATCACTAAAAAACTAACCATGTTGTCCAAAACAGTAAGTAATATTAAATAAATATACGATAATATTAATTTTAATAAAGTTGTATCTATTTACCTTAAAACCTAAATGTAACTATGAGTCAAGTTTTGGGTCAATTGATTTTTAAATTATATACCCTATAATTTACGTCCCTACATAATAATATAAATAATCTATAAAATGTACTTCAAGAGTATATTATACAAAATAAAAATTAATAATAATTGCCAAAATAAACAACTACTGCAATTTGTTTAAAAAAAATAATGTTTTGTAAATTTTTATTTTAATGATTTTAAAATAGTATATAAGTATATGTGAAGGTAAGTCAACACTCGTGAAAAAAAAAATATTGCTTATAGTTTTATATTAAAAATAATCGGGTCTGTCACAAATGTTAATATGTAGGTAATAGTTTTATTAAGAAATTATCAAGTCATAATACCTTTAACACGCAGAGGGGGTGGCCAGAATTTCATATCATTAAATATGACAATATTTATGCCATTCTTGGACAAAAAAAAACTTATCATCAAAAATTGACTTAAGAATGAGAACAATAATTCTACTTCAACGATGATCATGCTCAACAATACCTACGACGAGAACCGATTAGAAGTAGCACAGAATGACCAGACAATTACCAGCATGACGTAGTTTATTAACAACTTAATTTTTAGGAAATTAATAAAAGTAGACACTATTACACTAGCCTAAACCTAATTATAACAACATAAATAAAATGTTTACTGCGTTGACTGCTACCAGTCGCGAAATGCAACTGAGAGTAAGTAACGGCCACAGCTACTAGCTCCCGGATGGGTGACCACCCGGGATCATAGTGGTTAAAAACCTTGCCTCACATATACGTGTTTACTATCAACCATAACAATAATAAAAAAACAACCTACCGTACCAACCTTACCCCTACAACAGCTAATGGCCCAAGTCGCCGAAGCTTAAGTTCAATAAAAAAAAAAAAAAATGTTTATTAAAACGTTTAATTCTAAATACCCACATATACAAGTCTCGGACTAGCAAAGGTCATTGTGAATGAAGAAAAAAATGTATTTGAAATTCACAAACTAACATCCAACCAATAACTTCTACTCAAAAAAATGAGTTTACCTGAAACTTGTGAAAATAGAAATTTTTTACACGTTATAGAAAGTAATATAATTCAATTAAAACACTAGTATAGCTGCACAAAAAGGAACAAACAAGTAATTTGACAGAAACGAAGGGGCAACATCAACAATTACAGTTCACTGTTTAGGGAGCCACATCCAACGACATCAGTTACAAATCACTCATAAAAAATCTTTGTGACCACAGTCCTTTTTTTTATGATTTCCAGTAAATAAACTTATACAGAATCTTGTATCATTGATATCTTGTATTTTAAAATCTAATACTTTAATTTAAAATTGAATTATTTAATAACAAAATACAAAATTATTTTGATTTAAAAAAAAACTATTTTTTCCTAGGTTGATGTTTTATTTTTAATAATTATTATAAAGAGTACGAAGCATCTTCATTTTTGACTTTATAAAAGTACCATTTAGAACAAATCTAACCATCTCGAGAATTAAAAATCCTAGTCATTTTTAAAATATAATTCGTGTACAAACACACATAAAAACGGGTAGGTATTTTCATAATTAAACTATTACCCAATACAAATAGCCAATAGGTATAACGACTTGAAAATTCAGTTGATTTAAAATAAGACATTATAAATTTACAAATAAGCTTGACAAATATGCATTGGATAAATATTCACGTAAACGCTCAATGTAAAACATTAAACATTAAAGTCTTATATGTATACACAAATATATATGTATACACAAATATATATATATATATATATGTTGGTAAGCAAACGTTTGCTTTAATTTCAATAATGATACTAAACGCTAAAATAGTCAATTAATTTGTAACATGCTTAATATGTATCGAATTTAAAAATAAATTAGTAAAAATTACAATCTGAAACTATAAACTACGAAAATATCGGAACAGAACTGTGTTGATGAGATTTAAAATGTGTGAAAAAAAATTCGTCTGAAATTGTTGATAATTTTTGGTAGATCTATTACACTCTATATGCTTGTACAATTCTTCACAAAATACACTTTTATTTTAGAAATTACGAGCAGCTTGTAGCCAACAGTAGTTATTAGGTCACGCCATTAGTTTTGGAATTTCGAGCCCCTGTTAGAATTGTACATTTTAACACTTACGTCCATGATCGGCATGATGCATGTCCTGTATCTGTCCTATATGAACACTATGAACTATGAACGTTGTTTATCATTGTCATGTTTATGATAATGTACTGTTGTATATTCGTTCAAGCAGTTTAAGTTTGGCGGGCCCTAAGCAACTCGCGTGATAAGTGTTACAAACCTCTTGTCCTGCCGTTGTGTTTGCAACACTTATTTACCTAACGCGATCGAAATGAAAAAGAAGTGGTGGCGATAGAGTAGCTTTCATTTTATTCAATGTACCGCGGTAACGTGGAATCAACCCGATCAACTAAGATTATTTTTTGTTCTACCTATTAATTTGTGCTTAAAAATAGTTATCGTATTTTTTTTTATAAGTTTTTATTGTAGAAGTACCTTCCTGTTTCTAACGACTTCTTATCATTTGAGCACCGCCAAAGTGTGTTTATATTTTATTATCGATATCGATTACTATTCTCTATTCGGTTTATTTACTATTATTATTTTTTTTTTTTATCATACTTCAATTTAATATTTGAGAATTATAAATATTATAATAATTAACGATGATTCCTTTAACATAAATTACACTAAACGTACTGTTAAATTTCGATTCCCGAAATCTACACCGAAAGATTGATGATGATCAACTAACACCATACATTTCCCGATCACCGAATGGCGTCCATCGTCGCTGTAAACGTACTCTACTGAAAATTTTACCGCCGACGACGTAAGAAATTGAACGAAAATGGAATTTGACATCGGGACAGAACTCCTAATTCAATCACCTGGAAATATATGGTAAGCACTAAGCATTACTACACAGATTTTTCGAAATTCGCATGGTTATTGGTTTGTTTAATGTAGCTGACACGACCTCGCAATTGCGTCCACACATACGACAACCATATCATCGTTATGCATTGTGTGTAGAATTTTTTATTGTATTTCAACTGATTAGGACTGATAAGAATTGTTATCCAAATAATAACATAATCAAAAATTGAAGGTCTATTTATCAAGAATTTTTAGCAATCATTAATTTTAATTGTTGTTTCAGACCACTTAATAAATAGAAATATTATTGGTGGAGACAAGTGAATGTTTGAAACGTGTGTTGGTTGTACATTTAATTAAATTTAATAACCATTGTATTATAGGAATTAATTGTATCTCCTATAATAATCCATACACATAATTCTATTTAAAACCGATCTTGGCTTTTTAAAAATTATAAAGTTGAGCTGCATTTTAACTTGTAACTGGTCTTATGAGTAATTTTTGTTATTAGTATAAAGCAGGATAGCCAAATTTTTGTGGGTTTTATGCCAACACTTTATAATTGAAGTTTTCAAATAAATATATGCATCAGTTATACGTTCATAGGTTTCTACTGATAAATTTTACTGGAAGGTTTTAAAACTTTGTATACAGTTTTAGTTGTATATTTTATTGTTCTTAAAAAATTTTAAAGTAATACTACAAGAAGAATTAGGTTTGTCCAATAAATATATGTTAATTCTTTGTTTTGATTTGGATTTGAAATAATTTACTGTGTAAATTAAACTTTCACATACGCAAACAAAAATATTAAGGTTATGTGAAATTGGTCACTTTTTTGAATGTATAAAATATTATGTTTAGAAGCAGTAAGTTCCATACTTTTATAATTGATAGGTTTGTTTTTAAAACAGAAGAGAGAATTTTGTTTTCATTAAATGCAAGATTGTTTAACAAAATAAAAATATTTTCACATGTCATTCAAATTTGGTCTGCAATAAGCATTTTATAAATTTTCCATCCCTAGTATAGAAAATGTCACTTAAAATTAAATGATTTCAAACATGATAGATACAATAAATTTCTTTATGGTACTTAACTTACAAATTGCAACACTTATTTTACGTTCAATTAAGATTTTATATCGTAAAAACCAACAAAATGATAATTTATATTTTATATGCAAACTAATATATTATGTTTTGTATAAGCTGTTAATATAATTCAAGGAACCTATAATAGCATTTTATAAGATTCTTTTCTGTTTTATTGTATGTGTTTTGTGAAATTCTTTTATTCGAGTTCATCAATGTAAAGCTAATAGTTCTCATAGCTATCTCAGAATTTAAGAATATTATAATCAACATATTAATCTACTATAGAATATCTTTTATTAGGAGAGGTTTTTTAATCTGTTAAATATTAATACTTAATGTTAAATGTGGTAATTTTTTCATTTATATTTGTCAATAACTGTATTATCTACTTTATAATACATTATGTGATAAAAATTAAGTGATAAAAATAATATCATATTGATATTTTTTTAGTACATAAAAATTATAATTTTTTTTAAATGAATTTATTATAAATAAATTGTATATAATTAAAACTATCCTTCAAGAATAATAAAATAGAAAACTATTTTTTTTCAAAAATATTTTATTTCAGTTATCAGAAAAACTATAATTGTTAGTATGTTTTTTTTTATGTCTCTTATTTAACTATTTTTATTGAAATATTTTGTTTTAATTATATTATGTTATTTAATAGAGTATTATATAATCTTAGTGTTACATTTATATACTTAATAATTTTAAAATATAAATGGGTAGTGAATATAAAAAAAAAATGGGGACTCACGTTGTATGTTATTTACATGAACTTTGATCGCGTTGTATGTTATCTACGTTGTACGGAGATTGATATTGCATTTGGATGAATGGAGGGCTTACAGCAATCTAAATGACCACAGGTATATGCATAAAACTGTAAATCATCAGCTTCACTTTATTGATCTGAAAAAAGGGGACAATATCCAATCTATAGAATCTACATAGAGATGTGTCAAAATAAAGTACAGTATAATTACAAGTTGTGCCACCAACTTATTAAAACAGAAATTGATGGATGAGTGGTGGCACTCACTCAATGCATCCAAAAACCTTTTCAAACAGTTTTATGAAGACATGAAGTAAAGTTATTTAATGTGATAACGCTCAGATGGTAGACGACACCTATAATTTACATATTTCGGGGTAGAAAATTGTAGATAACGTACATCGCCAACAAACAATTGTGGTAGATACATTTTTCATGTAGATAACTTACGACATGAAATCCAAAAAATTTATTAATTATTAATTAAAAATATTTTCTTTATTTTAGGACACCGGCTTTTGTAGAGGAAGATGATGGTGATGAAATATTTATAACTTACAAAGATGGCAATGGAACAAATGAATGGATTAATAAAGACAGTCATAGAATTAAATCTATAAATGAAGAATTAATAAAAACGTATGAATAAATGATAATATATTTTTTTTGTTCAGTTATTATTATATTAATTTTGAATTTTAAATTTTAGCCAATCTGAAAATATTAATATTTTACCTGAAATAAAACCAATAATTACTAATGTTCAATTCTCTGAAAAAGAAATAGCAAAAAAATCAATTACAAGTGCACGATCATCCAGTATATTTAAAGTAAAGTTTAAAAAAGATGATTTTTTGACAAAAAAAACTCAAGGTAAGACATGAAATCATTTTAATTTTACATGTTTAATTGCCTAAAATTGTTTTAAGAATCATTTTAGTTTAAAAAAGTTTTAGGTAGTTTATATTTCTGTCAAAAATCTACAAAAATTCCATCTCAGTGTTTTATAAATTAGAATTTAATACCAAATACATTATTGTTTATAACTTTTTAATAACAGTAATTAATTGATAAAAATTCATCTCTTTTTTTTTTTTTTTAAATAGGAACAAAATAAATATTTGTTCTTTTATTTACCATGGAAAATATTGATTACTTAAAATTAGAAAAAGATCCCAGAATATTGAATTGTTATATTACATCCAGTTACTGCACATTTTCAGATTTAAAGGGTTAACATTTTTTATTGAATTTAATTATGTGTATTTTAGCAAATTTTAATTGATAAAGTTAAATTAAAATCTTTAATTAAGTTTAAGGTTATTTAGATGAAATTATTTATGTTACCTTAAAAGTTTTATACAGAATCTGAAAAAGAGTATGAAATAAAATATCTTTATATTTGCATCCTTAATTTAACTATATAATTTTTTGAATAAAACAAAAAATATGATAATAAATAAAATTAATTAAATTGTTAAAATAATTATTTAAATTCATGTTTGAAAAATTATCATATCCCTTTCACTTTGTATATGGTAAAGTAAAAGCAATAAAGTATGAATCAAGAAAAAAATAACTTATAAGGAAAAATAACTAATAACAAGTACTATCATTATTTCCCCACTTTTGTACTATATTACAAATCATCATACCAACTATTAAATTTCATAATTTTTTTTGCCAATGAATGTAGGTTACAGAAGTATCTTTAAATTTATTTATTTATTTTATATTAATTTGTTTACAATAAAATTCTTGGTTTTTTATTTTAAAAATATATAATACTGTTTCTGTTTCATATTATTGTGGTATTGTATTACAACAGGTAATTTGATATTAACCCTTAAATCTAAAATTGAATTACATTATTTACAATAGTTGCCATAACTGAATGGTAGCCAAACTTTTAAATTCAAATCATTTATAACACTTAAATTTCAGTATTCATCTTACTATTAATAGAATATTAATAAAAAGGTACAGTGACCTTTATTTGAATGCCTACTCCTGCAAGTTTCCCTAATAAACTGTATTAATTTATTTTTCTATAATCCTAGTTCTTATCAAGATTACTAGTTTAATCTAATTCAATTATTATACATTATACTGAATCAACTTAATATGAAAAGAAAAAAATTAAAACATAACACTTGTCGATATATATCTTTGGAAATAATTATCGTGTCAAATTATAAACTATAAATTAGTATTATATTAAAATAATGTTTTATCTAGTAAATATTAAAATGTATTTGTATAAAATTCTTTGATGTTATAATCAAATTTTTGCTTAGATAATAACATACTTTAAAATAATATATTTACTATAAACAAATACATTTAAAGTTCTCAATTTTGTGAGTTTGATTGAATTTGCATTTCATTAACTTAACTTGGTCTACAACAAATTATAGTTTATGATTAGTCATTTTTTTTCAAACTATTATTTAATGTGTATTATTTTACTATATATTATTATTTTTTATAATTTCAATAGTTTATTCAATATATATATATATATTATCAGTATTTCTTTTATATACAATTGCCATTTTAATGAAAATAATTATTTCATTTAATTTATAGATTCTAAAAATAAAGAACAAAAAATAATAAAAGATACTAAGAAATCATCAGAACGTGAGACAAAACAACTTCCTGTAAGTATTATTTTTTTTTTTTTATATATACTTTTTAAGTAAATACCAAGATAATAACAGACAATTTAGACTAAAGAAAGTTGTATTTTTTTTTTAAAAATTAATTTAACAATTTGTTTACTTTTTGTTTTGTATGTTGTCATTTTACAGTACACTACTATTGATGTATAATATTATGCAGAACATAATATATGAATAATACTGTGATTAACCCGATCAGATATTGTATCATACATTTAAAATGATATATTTCATTAAAAATCAAATGTATATTAAGTTTATATAGTAGAGTTTTAAAGAAATTGAACTTGTTAGTTATTTTATTCTTATTTTATTCAATATTTTTATTTATTACAATATAATATTTTTAGAGTAATGAAAAACATTCTACCAGCACAACATTAAAACATTCACTGATTGGAGAAAATTCAGAAATGGAAAACATTAAAGGTAATTAAATAAATAACAACTATGATTAAATAATATTTTATGCATATATTTTTCTTTAATAAAAAGTTGCGGAAAGTATTAATTCTTCAAAAAACCCAAAACCTTTGACAGAAACTAATTTAATGAGATCTGAAAATTTTGAAGAACTATTGGAAGATATTGAAGCAGAGGCAGAAATATGTTCACCGACAAAATCTATTTCTCGTAATGATATAAAACAAAAAAAAAAAAGTAAGAATGGTCCTTAGGATAATTAATAAAGATTTGATTCATTATCCAATTTATTTTCTGTTATCACAGAGAAAAAATCATATTTTGGTCAAAAAAGGAGGTCTGAAAAGAAAAAATCAAAAAAAAATGAAAGTAAAAATAAAAAATTAGTAGTGAAATTAAATTCAAATAATATTAAGTAAGTTTATAATTATAAGTTAATTTTGTTTATTATTTTATTAAAAATATATTTTTTACTTAATCTAGAAAAGATAGTACAATGCCAGATAATAGCACATTGAATTACTCAGATGAAAAAGAAACAACACCACCTTTAAAAAAAATTAAAACATCTCTTCCTGTCAGCAATTCACAAGAAAATTCTGTACAACAAAGTTGTTCACCATTATTCCAAGAACTAGCTAACAATACTCTATTACAAAAAAGTATGATATTATATTCTATGATAAGTCATTCTAAAATAAATTTTTATTTAACATCCAAATTTGTAAAAGAAAACTACATTAACTCATCATTTCTTACGTTTTTGTCATTTTTTAGTTAGAATGGATGCTTCTAACGAACAAGGATTAAGATGTCCAAAACAAGAATGTCGAAAATTGTTTCGTAAAGAAAATTTATTAATGGTTAGTGTCATTGAATTTCTGTAGTTTCTTATAATAAATAAAATGTATCGTAATAATGCATAGTTTTTATTTTAGATGCACATTAAACACTATCATTCTGAATACACTGAATTATTGGTGTCAACACCTAATGTAACAGATCTCGCAACAGCAAGAATCGAAGGTGAAAATGTTGATGAATTATCTCCGTCTTATTTTCTTCATAGAATATCTCAAATAGAAGCTAAAAGAAGCTGGGGCAATACGTCATATGAAGCACCTTCGCCAACTGCAATTCCTTCATCATTAAAACTGACTGAGTTAGTATTTATTTATTTATAATATTACGTTGTATGGTAATATAATTATTTTATAAGGATTTAGCATAAGTTGAGTGATAAAAAATATTTTACAGACAAGAAATAAGTAATAACACCTCTCTTAATTCTGAAAATTATAACACATCGTTCACGTCCATTGACCAACCAAACAATATAACTTCAGCTCATAATTCTAAGTAATGTTTATTACTAAGTTGTAGATTTATTTATAAGTATTATTTATAGTTTTATATGTTTCGCTTGAATTTTCAGAGATTCTGGAATTTCTGGTGTAGTAGAATCATTCAGCTCAACAACCGAGACACCAATTAAACAACAATATGTTGAAATGAAAGAAGCTATTAGAAATATAACATTAAATGATGATTTTGAAAATGAAACTAGAGGTAGAAATCAAGCATCAATGCTTAGATTATGTATGTTTTACATTTTAAATGTTATTTGATTGCAGATAGTTATGATATGATAAGTATAGGAGGCTCAGACCGACATTTTAAAATTAAAAAAAATAAATCAGATGTCGAAACTCTTCCTAAAGAAGAGGTGATCAATTGTTCATGTGCTTCAAATCAAGAAGATGGTTTAATGATTCAAGTATGTATACAATTATTTAATTAAACAATTGCTCAAAACTTTTTATTCTTTTGATATTTTTTATTATAATTTCATGCATTTCTTTTGATTTACATTTCTACTTAAAATTACTTAAAAATATTTCTTATGTTGTTCATACTTAAAGATAATGACTAATATCACATTTGTGTGACATCTCAATTTTACTTATATTCTAGTGTGATATTTGTTTGTGCTGGCAACATGGATATTGTAATAAAATTGATTCTGAAGATCAAGTACCCGACAATTATATTTGCACAAGTTGTTTAAATCCTCTAAAAAAAAGACGATCAAAACAATATGACTATTCACAAGATTGGATTAAAGAAGGAATATTAGCCAGGTTTGTTATATTTAACTTAACCCAATGTATCAACTTTATATGTATCTAAATTTTTATATAATTTTTAGTGTCTTACAACATAAAGATGAGCGACGAAGAAAAGATGAAGCTATTTTAAAACAGTCTCATCAGTTAGTAGCTGAAGTGATAGAACACAATAATTATTTACATAGTTTACGAGTTAAAACTATAATTTATGGGTATGTTATTTTTTAAGTTATATTGTATACTATTTGAATGATGTGGGCAAGAAATCCCATACCTGGTTCTCACTAATTTAATTAATTTTACTTCTTATTTTTTTTTTTTTTCAGTCAAACCCCTGATCATCCAAAACTGTATTTATGGACTGAACAAGGTTCAAAAAAAAAAGAAGAACCTATTCAAGACAAGCTTGAAGAATGTAAATTCATTAAATACTGTTTTTATATACTTTATATTTAAAGTTTTTTGAATATGTATTTTACATTAAATTTTTGATCTATGATCTTTCAGTGCTTTCTGGTCCAGTACCCGAAAAACCTATAAACAATTCTGACTGTAGAAAAAATTTACTCGAAGAAATTGAAGATGGTTTTGATAATTTAGAAGCCAGAATCAATTTATTTGAAGCTAAGACTAATGGTAGTTTTTCTTAATTTTAAGTCACTCATTATCTAAATTATTAGAGTCTAACAGTTCATTAATTGTTTACAGGACTTGAAGATCAAGTTAATGGCTGCGTAGATAATGAAGTCTTAACAAATACTGTTACTTTATTATTACGAGACTTGAATTCAATCAACCATCATATGTCATTAGAAAACAATAACAATAATAAAGAAGAAGAAAATGTTTGAAAAAAACTTCATGGATTTAGTTAATCACACTATTGTTACTTCTAAAATTCTCGTTAAATCCTATAAATATCATACATTATATATTATTTATTGAAATATTTTAAAAGTAACATGATTATCTGATAAAGGTTCTGATTTTAATTTGTGTTTTGTAGTTGTATCAACACAATTTCATATGTTAACACTGCTCCAGCAACCTGCAAAGAAAATGTTTATTTGTGATTAACTTATAATTTTCCTAATTTTGTAAAACTTACCCCCAAAAGAAAGTTTCTTGTGATTGAAAACATTTTTAATCCTGTTAAGGCAACATAATCTGATGTAACTTCTTGTAAAAATCGTTGTGTCTTAAAAATAAAATAATAAAATATTTTTTTGTTGTATTTTGTACAGAAATTTGTAAAATTTTTAAATATTTACCTTGTAAACAATACATTTTAAGATTTGGTTAAACAACTGACTATAGTTTTATTGTTTCAGTCTTTAACACAATTTTTTTTAGAGAATAAAATATTTTTAATTTTTAGTATTATTTTAATGTTATAGATCTATTTGTAGAATAATTGTGCTCAGTGAGTGCAAGAAAAATTTTTTTTGAAATAAATTTAAAATTATAGTTATTTTGTTACCAATTAATCGTATAATGTTCCTTCAGAATAAAATAACATTTACAAATAATAATAAATTATAAATTATGATTTGCAGTAAATATGTTTTAATTTTCAATTAATTATCATTTAATATTTATTTCAACTAAAAGGACACCATACTAATTTATTATGTTATTTTTAAAAACAAAATGAATCCCCCTATTATTAAATTTAAATGTAAGATTATTATCTATGTCATTATATTGGATATTTTTATTGGTATTTAAATTTTAAAGTTACAATAGTCAATAAGTGTACAGTTTTATATGCTCATAACTAATTGCATATTGAAATATCAAAAAAAAATATTTCAATATGCCCAAAATAATATTACATTTGAATGAAAAAATTGTGTACACTATTTATTAATAAGATGAAACGAAATATGTGGGTGTGATACTGTGATATCCTCTTAATAAGCTTACTTTGTTTTATGATGAATACATGATGAAAAACTAAGATAATATTTTGGTTCTTGGATGAAAATGGAAATAGTGTTACAAAATTACTGAGAACAAAATCTTATACACTTAAGTGGTTGGGAAACCTAGGCATGTAGTTCAATTGATAAATAATTTTATAATTTAAATGTTGATATACAAGAATGTTTTAAAGTCATACTTCTATGCTGTAACTGTGCGTCGGACACATGAAAATTTCAGGCACAATCTTCTTGCTCTCGTCATTTATAGCAGATGCTTGCATCACGACTGCTGTGGTCCGAAACACCAAAAACATAAACGAGTACATGTAGAACAGCGTTCTGAAGTAGCTGTGTTTGATGGAACTGGTAACAATAATCAATAATATATGTATTGGCCTTTTGATATATTTTTTAACACTTAATGTATTTTATACGTTATTATTATTCATAAACAGTGATTTTTTTTTAATCATACTCGTTTGAGTTCCATTTAAATGTTAAATCAAGAGAACGTGCGGCCACAGGTTCATGACTATTTTTCGTTAAAACTCGATTAAAGCGGTCAAAATTCATACTCGACTAATTCGTATTTTAATTTACTTAAATATATGATCAAATACTCATAAAAAAAAAACTTAAATCAGTTATTAATGCTTAAAATTACGTTGTATTAATGTTTTTTCTTTTTAAGTGGAATAACTGCGTTCGTGAATCGTAATGAAATATGTAATTGGATAGTTAAAGTGTTTTAGGTTCTTTCTCACACCAAACTATATTACTAAACATCGAATATCGATGGTATTAACAACTGACATAACTACGTTGTACAACTTATAAGTTCTTAAAGCAATGTACATATGCGGATATTTGATTGAATTTTAAGTGAGAAGCTTAAATCTTTCTTTGAATTACACCTAATTAATATTTTAAAAAATTTTCAATAATTTTGGGGAGAGGAACTAAGCCCCCCTTTTAAGTACCTCCCAATCTCTGCCTATGGCAATGTATCAGTATTAAAATTAAAAATATTAAAATTAAAATTTGATTATAAATAAGTTATTAAAATTGCCTATATTAACTCCTAAAAATCGAATGTGTCACTCTAATGTTCAAGATTATTTTAGCTATGTTTGGGTTATTACTTATTACTTGTTGCTAGTTACTACTATCTTAAAACAGGATTATAGCAGTCAAGACTATCTTAATTTTGGCGTTTGACACATCTGAATTTTACAACAACATCAGAAATTAGATTCCATAACTATGTACCATTATTTTTATCATTTATTTATATCATTCAGTAGAAATTAGAGGTAAATTATTTAAAACTTCAAATTAATAATCCTTTTCTTGTGTGTGCGTTACTGATTGCTAGAAGATCATAGAATTATAAATATAACTTATACAGTATGACCGCCAGTCAGTAAATAAGCAATAAGCATACTCTACAGGTGCGCCGAGCTCATGTGCAGAACGCTTATATATATATATACCTACCGCCAATTACACTGCTGTTAACGTGTTAAAAAAAAAAAAAATAATAAGTTATTAACAAATTAAAATTTAATAACTGACATTAATCAGGACCTCATGACCGCATATGATTTTTTTTTTGATATTTTTTTGTTAAAGCAAATTATGGCGCATTTTAAAATTGTAAATTTTTAAATGCTCATTATTATTTCAAAATTAAAATTCTACGTGCGCTAATAATTGGCATAGAATACTCTCTAATCTTACTGTTTTAGTTTTTGAAAATCTATGATCTTTATTAGATATTATAAACATAAAATAGAACAAATATGCTTAAAAAATAATACCGTGCATGAGTACATTATTATTTTGTAGTATGCATAATAGTCTCACTCGATTTCCGTAATAAGCTGAGCACAAATGAAGTATATGTTACTGCCTATTGACAACGCCACAATAACGTTAATGTGATCGTCGATTTTCTTGACCAAATGAGTTAAGGACGTGTATGTCTCTCGGTATTCCTGCCATTGCGACATTGTCAGCATCTTTTTTCGTACACCGCAACCAGTAGAAAAAAAAAATCAATATTAGTAATTACTTACACGTCTGTAGGTGCGTAATAGAATACACTACCATCCAACTATTATATTTAATTATAATATTATCAATTGACATAATATTAATATATATAGATAATAATATGAACAAACACGACATTTACGGTTTACACGGTTTACGCCGTTTATGGTTTATTATATATAGATATCAATAGTGAATTACGACACCTATTTATGTATTATGGGTATAAATAGTATACATTTTTAAATATCCTTAAGGGTATTGTATAAACTCGACTTCCTAGCAAGTAATTTCCTCAACTACGCATCCAATATCCACAAGTGACCACATAACCATTTAAGATATTTTCAACTATATATAATAAGTGTTTATATATACCAACTAAAATTAATTTAATTCGTTTTTTACATTATAGATTTATAGATACTTAACAGAAACATCTTTTTTTTTTCAAACAAGTATTTAAAAACATTTAAAACACTCACTTGACCTCTGACGTTGTGCATGGCTTTTGTTAGTTTCTTAAACTGAGCAGCCAGTGCTGAGCTGACTAACATTATGAAGAGATCGGTGAAATTCCACAGGAACGTCGCAGTAAGACTCAACCACATTACCAAGAAGCCTTTTACTGGGTTATAACTATCATAGTCGTCGTACAAATACCAATGCGTTTTTAGAGAAAACCGTTCGAGATATCCTGTGAATGTTGCCTGTGTATACACAATTCACATATCCTTTGCTGTTAATTAGATTGATATATTTTAAAGGATAAAGATTCAACTTATCTACCTATATTATAATATAATACGCTGTAGAGGCGGGCTGTAGGCCAGGTGGGAATATTCTTAATGGGCCGTAAGTATTCTAAGGCCACCGAGTTGAACCATGTAAATTTATAAGCTTTATATTAAAATAATATAATAATGACCATCAAAATAAAATAAATCTATTTAGGCATATTACAATAATATACTCGTAAAATGATTGTAAATGCTGGTTATCAAACAATAACGAAAGTATAAATTTAATCCAGCATGGCACTGTTGTGTATAACTACTATAACTTTTAATATGTAAGATAATAATAATAATTTCATTTAAATGCGGTATTAGCGAAAAATGAAAAGCGTGGTGTTATGAAAAAAATATACTTATTTTAAATTAGCATGTTATATTATGATACAACTATAGATCCATTATCTGTATTTTTATTTTAAAAGCGACTCATGGGGATTTACCTTTGAATATACATAAATACATGATGTTATGTATAGTTACAATTTAACAAGAAAATTATCAACAATTTCATTTTATTAGAACATAGAAGTTCTTTTTTAAGTACTAGTTTCTTTGCCTTTAGAATGAAGTTATTCAAATGTTAGACTTAATTGCTTATTTTTGTATGAAAAACTGCAAATTTTTAACATTTTTAAATGCACATATGATAATAATATTAAGTTAAAAGAAGTTTAAAGACTTAAATACAATAACTTTCTGTAAAAATAGTAGAAATTTAAAAACCCTTTTTAACAACAAAATATATAGCCACCTAGGTACATAAAATATCATTTATATTTAATATATTTTATGAAATTAAATTTTTTTATTATCATATGTTCGATGATCATATACATTTTATTTATACCTATTTATACTACAATAATCTATAATACCTATTCATTTGAAGTTTTCAAAAAAAAATTATTTATATCTTTATTTTATTTTATTTTATTTTTTTTTTTTTTGTGTCAATTTTGGAAGAAATAAGCCCGTTCTAATTAATTTATAATCAGGCTGGTTAACTTTGCTTTTTCACTAGGCAAGACACTCTCCCTGGTGTGATCTTAACATATCAACATGAAAAAAATGTTAAAGATAGTACATTGTGTATGTAATTATTAATGTATAATTTAAAATTAAATGTAATACTAATAACAAATATGTATTTTAAGTATTTATACTAAGTAGGTATACGTGGATTAGGTATATCTAATACATCAGAGTCAGATTGTCAGATTAAAGGTTAGTCAAAAGGCACTCGCTTCGATTTGCTACTTTTTTTAAAGTATGTACAATTTTACAGAATTGCC